GCAGAGACGTGGATTCTACCTTGAGCCCCCAACTGCTGCCGAGTGCTACGCCGTCCAGGCGGACGAAACCCCAGAGCCGAAAGAGTTCACGGACATTGCACATCTCGGAGGCGGGGGGAGGGGCACCACAACGAGCAATCGTGACACACTAGTCGCAGAAGCTCGAAAACCCATCCCCACCAGCAACACGGAGCGTTGCCGAGCGTCCAGGCACCCACAAACGCGGCGAGAGTGCTGACACCAAGATTGTGAGAAGCTGTCTGCGACTATTTGAGCTCAGCGCCCACTCTGCAGCAGTCGACACGCACCGAGCGGCAGGGAGCACCGTGCGAAACCCAGGCAGGGAGAGCGCCAAGCCTGGCACCCAGCAGCGACACTGGGAGAGAAAGAACTGGTGCCAGGCCCGGAGCACAGCCCTTGGGGCGACCCCCTGCGACTGCACCGGAGAGGGGCACTTGCGAGGCTGCCCGCGCAATTTCTTCGTCGCAGCTCGGCAGAGGCAGTCCGCACGCGCGCTCAGGCGGTCCGGGCAACGGAAAGCGCGAATGAACTGGCGGCAGGGGGAGGGAAAGACTGGCGTAGGCGGCCGCGGGGCGGGAGGAGGAGGAGGAGGTCCTGTGTAAATCAAAGAGTCATCAACGATGTTGGAAGTAACCCTCCCTCCAAGTTCCCTCTTCAAAGGCCCCTACAACGGTTCATTTCCATTGAAAGATCTGTCTCGTTGGAAGACACCGACACCCTTCAAGACCCTGAAGCATGCCAAAGCATTGTTCTCGGGATTTCCACGCCACGAATCAACCTGACTGCTGTGTCTTGGCGATCCGGAACCTTGCCAGAACGCCATTTTTTCGGACTTCAACACCGCGGGCCAATATAATTGTTGCACCCGCATAATCCTGAATCCTTCCACACCACCACTTCTGGTACGCTGATCATGGGAATCCGTGAAAGCCTTCCACATGTTATGAACGAACGCGCGCGGCACTGCAACGAAAACCACATTTGGGAAAGGAGCAGCCCTCAATCGGTGAAGCTCTTGCAACCTTTGAAAAATGCGCGCGGCGCTAAGGCGATAACCACATTTTGAAAAGGAACCGCCCTCAATCCGTGAAGCCCTTGCAAACTTTTAGCGAGAGCCACATTTCTAAAAGGAGCCGCCCTCAATCCGTGAAGCTCTTGCGAACTTTCAAAAAGAATGTGCGCGGCGCTAAAAGCGAGAACCACATTTTGAACACGACCCTCCCTCAATCCGTGAAACTCTTGCAATGTTTTAATACGGATGTGTGTACTTTTGTAATACGAATGTGCGCGGCGCTAAGGCGAGAGCCACATGTTGAACACCACCCGCCGTCCATCTGTGAAACTGTTGTCACTTTTCAAGCTTCAGAGCCATAAGTGGTGAGGAAGTCTCAAGCGCAAGGCCGGGGCCGCCCTAACAACTGGCCTCGGGGTGCGACAGGGAGAAGTTACTTGGAAGGAAAATGAGAGGAGGAGCGAACGACGCGCAGAAGGGGGCGCGTGTCCGCGGGTTAGAGGCGCAGCGGGCCCGCCCCGCCCACGAGGCACCGGGGCAGCCTCAGGACGCGACGAACGGCAGCGACCACGTCCTTGTGGTACTTGAGCTCGTTGAGGATGGCGGGAGTGCCCATCTCTGTGTGCACCCGCAGGATGTTGTACGTGCGATAGGCCACGGCCATGCGTGTGATGGTGCCTTGGGATGTCGTCGATGTTGTTGCTCTCGTGGAGTCCGAGTCGGGTGAGGACATCACCAGCAGGTTGTCCCCGAGGTAGAGCCAGTAGTGTCCACATTCGTGGGCATAAAAATGAAAGGAGGAGGAGGAGGAGGAGGAGGAGGAGGAGGAGGAGGAGGAGGAGGAGGAGGAGGAGGACAAAAGCGAAAGAGGAGGAGGAGGAGGAAGAGGAGGAGGGGAGGGGAAGGCGCTCACATGGCGGGAGTCGCCGCGGAGAGGCCGGGCCGGCCAGCCAGCGCTGCGACTGGGTGCCCGCACGCGTGGAGGCGCTGGGCGAGGGGGCGGCGCCTTCGGTTGGGGGCCCTGCGCCAGCGGCGCGGGCGGCTCCGGGGGGGCTGGCGCCTGCGCCTCGGCGCCCAACAGCCCCTTCCCTCCTCCGCCGGTGGTGGGCGAGACGGGCCGGCTGCATTTTCGATGGCTGCGCTTCTCGTTCGCGTCCTCCCCAGGCCACGTTCCTCTTTTCCCAGCTTTCCGCGCTGTCGCTTCTGGCGCTGTGGGCCGTCCGCAGCCTTCTCGTTTCTGTGCGTTGGGCCGCCCGGGGCTGAGGGCTGGGCTTCCCTTCGCTGGAAAGGGTGGCGGTCGGAACCAAAGTGCCCTCCCTGTCTCGCTGGGTGAGAGTTTCCAGCAAGACGGTGCGCAGACTGCGGTAATGCAGGGTCCGACCGACCGACCTCCCTTCTTCTCCTTCCTCATCCACCTCTTACGTTCCTCCTCCTCCTCCTTGTCCTCCTCCTCCTCCTCCTCCTCCT